GAAGCGGCAGCCTTGGCGGAGTCCAACATGCACCGGAAACAGGTCTGACTTACTGTCGGCAATGCGGACCAAGCGAACCTTCCAACACCCTAGTGAGGGTATAGAGCTGGTCCAGTGTTCCACGGCTGAGGCAAAAACTGCACTGTTCCTCCTGAATTCGAGGTTCGACTATTGGCCAGATTCTCCTCTCCAGTACCCTGGCATAGACTTTCCCAGGGAGGCTGAAAAGTGTGATCCCCCTATAGTTGGAACACACTCTCCGGTCCCCCTTTTTAAGAAGGGGGACCACCACTCTGGTCTGCCAGTGCAGAGGCACCATCCCCGAACTCCACACAATGCTGCAGAGGCATGTCATCCAAGACAGCCCCACAACATCCATAGACTTGAGAAACTCAGGGTGGACTTTATCCACCCCCAGGGCCTTGCCACCGAGGAGTTCCTTAACTACCTCGGCAACTTCAGCCAGGGTAACGGACAAGTCCCCTTCCGAGTCCCCAGCCCTGGTTTCCTTTACGGAAGGCGTGTCGGAGGGATTGAGGAGATCTTCAAAGTGCTCCTTCCACCGGCCAACGACATCCTCAGTTGAGGTCAGCAGCACACCACCTCCATTGTAAACAGTGTTAGCAGAACACTGCTTCCCCTCCTGAGCCTCCGGACAGTTCTCCAGAATCTCTTTGAAGCCAACCGAAAGTCTTCTCCATGGCCTCACCAAACTCCTCCCAGGCCCGAGTTTTTGCCATAGTGACTGCCAGGACTGCGTCCCGCTTGGCCTGTCAGTACCTGCCAGCTGCTTCAGGAGTCCCATGAGCCAACCAGGGCCGATAGAGCTCCTTCTTCAGCTTGACGGCATCCCTTACTTGCAGTGTCCACCACTGTGTTCGGGAATTGCCGCTGCAACAGGCACCGAAGACCTTACGGCCACAGCTCCCAGCAGCTGCACTGACAGCGGAGGTGTGGAACATAGTCCATTTGGACTCAATGTCCCCAGTCTACCTCGGCACCTCTTTGAAGCTCTGTCAGAGGTAGGAGTTGAAGACCTCTCTGACTGGGGCTTCCACCAGACGTTCCCAGCAGACCCTCACTATACGCTTGGGCCTGCCAGGTCTGTCCAGCTTTTCACCTCGCCTTCAAATCCAACTCACCACCAAGTGGTGATCAATTGACAGCTCAGTTGTCATTTTACGTGTTACAATGACAATAAAATGAAGCTTCTTCTTCTTCTAATATTTGCATAACATGGGAGCATTCATTTTCATTTTCTTTTGCAGACTGTCTTGAAATTCTGTTAAAATGTTGGCTAAATTTGGATGAAAAAGTGTTTTATGATTGACAGTTTGCTTCTTCTCCAGTCTTTGATTCTGTACATGTGAACGTCAGATTATGCCTTGAAACGTTTTGTAAACCCACACATTTATTTGGAACCCTTTGTGGGAGCAACACCCCAGTACTTAAAAGAAATGAGTTGTCTGTCATTCAGTTTTACAATAACATGTATTCCTAATTGCAACAAAAAGAATGTAGTTAAAGAAACCGTGTCCATTGTCCATCCAGGTAAGTTGTGTTCTTACATCAGTTATCATCCCACCTATTTTCCTGCTGTTACCAGGGAGCAGTGGGGGGTCTGGTGGCGGGTCTGTTTATGGTTTTGTGGGTCGGTATCGGGAGAGTCGTCACTCGTGGCTCCGGCGCCAGGCCACAGCCACCCAATTGTAGAGTCATCCTGCCATCAGACAACATGACTAATGCCAT